GTAGCACATGTGAATTCTTTAATATTCACATATCCCATCTTAATCTCTTTTGAGACATAAACATGTATATGTTCAGGTGTGAGAGAAGCGCGCGGTTTGAGCTGGTGCATTTTGGGGCACCGAGGGCCATTTTCAGGGGCCTAACAGAGCTGTTACTATTCTGCCAAAGATGGGATTTAAACCAACAACCATTAGAGGCGCAGAGGCTTAACCTGCTAACCACGTACTGTCCCCTAATATTTCAGATCCTTCACTGTACAACAGATTCCCCGTCACATGTGGGTTTTATAAGAAGCTTTCCCACACAAGTCACAGAGCACTAACCCACTTTCACACAAATCTTGCCCAGAATGTTATTTGTTTAACATTGACCCATTTAGCTAATACAATGCCCTTCACAATACATCACGCATATGCAGATGGTTAATATTAATGTCTGCTGTATTCTCCCCGAAACGCCCTTAAATCAGGCATTTAATAAAGTTGCATAAAATGGAATGCATAATGTATTCCATAATAGCTTAGAGAGGTATAATGAATTCTATCCTGTAATTGGCCTGATAAATTTATGGTAGCTAGGGCAGGTATCCCCTTGTGCTGAGGAGAGCATCCTGACACGATGGCCCCAAGAACAAACAGGGAAGTGAGTGTGTCCCGAACAAACAGGGAAGTGAGTGTGTCCTGATCTGGATAATGGGAGCCACTCTGTGGCATCACTGTTCCAAGTAAGAAGTCTTTTTTGTCAAATAAATAACAGTAAGACTAGCAAAATATTAAAGGGCCTGTAGCCAGTCATCTTAATTATCCTCACTTTAGGATCTGAGAAGCTCCACGGACAGGGAAGCCTGTTCCACCATAGTGCTAAGCAGAGGTGGATAGTTCAGGTCCAGAAAGTAAAAATCCAGACCAAGATTTTGTTTCAACCAACCAGTTGAATACAATATAAAGAGTCACAGGCACAGAGTACTCAGCTGGTTGGCTGAAACAAAATCTTGGTCTGGATTTTTACTTTCTGGACCTGAACTATCCTCCTCTTGTGCTAAGCTGGCACAATGGCCTCTAAGCAAATGAGGGCTGGTTTATCCAACATGGAGAGGTTTATGCAGGTGAGACTGCCAGATTTAGGGTTACAATGTGACTGGTCAAGTAACAGGGAGATGGAGCAAATTATTGTAATGTGTTGCAGTGACAGCTGCCCTCTCTCTCTCTCTCTCTCTCTCTCTCTCTCTATCTATCTCTCTGTCTATCTTTTTAGTTTTAATGCCACTGGAATAAATTTAAAACCTTACTGAGGTTGATGCACATGAAGAGAGGAAGTGTCACATCCTGAGGGAAGTAAAAATACACTCGAGTGACCAAAAACATGACTCATGTTAGACTCTTAACTCAGCTGAAGTTGGAGCAGGAGAGGAGAAGCTCAGAAGCTGTGGTGACACTCATGGGTGTCTGTCGCCCCCAGTACAGATCCTCATTTCCAGCATTTATATTTCTCAAATTACTTTTGCTTGTAATTAAATTCTTAAAGAGCTGACAGCTTCCTGTTCAGGTGTGATGTCCATGCTTGAACGATCAATTTCTGGAAAATATAGTGATAAGAAATCTGTCCATTTTCTGTAACCACCTCTCCTATTCAGGGTCACTGGGGGTGTGGAGCCTATCCCAGAGACTTCGGGCGAAAGGCAGGGAACAACCCAGGATGGGGCACCCACCCAGCACAGGGCACACTCACACACCATACACTCACACACCATTCACACACACACATACACTCCTATAGGCAATTTGGTAACTACAATTAGCCTCAGCATGTTTTTGGGCTGTGGGGGGAAACCGGGGTACCCACAGGAAACCCCACAATGACACGGGGAGAACATGCAAACTCCACACACATAGAACCCTGGCGGAGACTCGAACCCTGGTTGCAGAGGTGTGAGGCGAGAGGGCGAGCCACAGCATCATCCAAAACTAGTTGATTTGTTTTTTCGCTAATTTATGTAGTTCTTATTATAAAAAGGGCGGAAATAAATATTTGGGGACTAAATATTAAATACAGTTTTATTTTGCATGATGAATTTCTTTCAGTTTTTTGATGTATATCTGTAAAATTCCCAGAATCTCACTGAAAGGCAAAAATCAAGATTGACAAACTGTCTTTTCCACCTGAACGTTCATCCATGGGAACATACATGTTTGAGAGAAAGCAGAGTCAGACAAGGCATGGAGCAACCGGGGGGGGCTGAGGGCCTTGTTCAGAGGCCCAATGGTGAAGTCACACTACTGACTCTGGGGTTCGAGCCAATGACTTTCCGACAACAGGCAGAAGGTCCACAGCCACATACACCACCCCTATCATTAATGTGCAGTTTGCCCACACATGCCGCAAAAAAACAGTACTCCATAAAAGCATGACCAGACACCAGCGTGCTCCAGATGCCGGTCTGAGCTTGTGCCTTGTGTTCCTGAACCGACAGCAAAGAACTGAAGCCTAGACGGTGCCACCCTGCCCTTTATGTTTAACACTTTCCTAGTTATTGGGCTACAGTGAAGCACTGTAGAGCATCATGGAGTGTGAATTTGAGGAGGATGTGGTGAACTTGTGCCTAATAGGGAGAACCAAATTCCATTTGCCCAAAAATGTCTTGATATTGTTCTCATGTAAAACAGTGATGTTTTGGTCAAATTGATTATCTTCTTCATATACAATTCAAATTTCGTAATCCATCCATCCATCCATCCATCCATCTTCCAATTGCTTATCATGGTCAGGGTCATGGCTAAAACTTCATAATATAAGAATCCTTTCAGTATTTTCTTACCTATACTGCTAAAAGAATCATTTGAACAAAGGAATATTAATGTGGAGTTTAAGATGCATTACAATGACATAGTACTTACACCAGTAAACTGACCTTAACCATTTGATTATGTTGCAGACCATTCAGGCCTATTAAAATATTTCACTGCACAGCATTCAGTACAGCATTAATTAAGCATTCATCTCAAAAATTCTCCATAAAACACAATGGGGCCAGGATATCATGCATATCGTCGCTGTGCGGTGAAAACGGTGAACGTACGCTTATTGATGATTGTGACTTCTTATTGTAGATGCAATACACCCATTCTCTACTGGTACTGTTTGAAATCTAATTGACCAATAAAAATATGCTTTATGACATTGCCTGTTTAACTAATATTTATGTTTGTAGTAGTTAACATTTGTATTCATGGTGGTTGATCATACGTATTAGTTTATATCACTGATTTTAACAAATTAATGTTGATAGCTAGATAACTAGTTAACTAACATCATTGTTAATTGTGAATTTGAAGTGAGATTAGTTAGTATCTTGCTGACACTGACATATTTGAAACAATAACATCAATCCACGTACATCCTTTTAAAACATTAAACTGTTCACTGACGGTTGTATAAATGTTTCTTTTGTAGTGCTAAGTGTGTCTCATCACATTGTTTTATGTTTATTTTTTTAAATAATTTCTGAGAAAATGCTTTGTTCTCGATTTTCAGAGGTACCTGTTTTTCAGACAGTGACAATACACATTTACATGGGCTTTGATGTGCTTTTGACTCCCTGCAGACAAAGGCAATGTGTCATTTAGAGCCAGACCCTTTTACAGAACATGAGTATAACACTCCCTGATCACTGAAGACCCTGACTGTGCATTTATACCTATGATGTGAACATCTGATGAAGAACGACTGCCAGCTTCTAATGTAATCAGAGTGGGACCTGGGCCTGCAAGATCCACAGCCATCAAGACTCATGACGTAGAGCTAAAAATTGGGTTCTTTTTACCCCAAGAGGAGGTGAGTCTGGTCCAGTTGGAAGGGCAGCTGCATATTTAAGGGGAATTGAATGTCACTTAATCCAACGAAGTTAAATGCCTACACAGCTTTTGTGAATATCAGCTGGATTTATGAATCAAAACAATTAAGTGCTAGCATGTGGTAGGTAAAGAGGAGAAGGTCAACCTTTGCAGTGCCTGAAATATTTCACATCACCTCTAGGGTGATTCATTTTGATACTTTTATAACCATAGCTTCACAACACAAACGGGAAACACTGTCTGAAATGGGAGATAACGAGATGGGCGGCGGTCTTCTCTTGTATAATGCCCCAAACAGCGTGTCCCATCAGAAGATGCCATCCCTTCAGGCTGTACATAAAGAATCCTGCAAATTATTCCATCAAATTCTTGATGGCATGTGGCTACAGACATCGCTAGACAAGTGAACTGCAGGTCCATACTGGAAGAACACTGGTGGAGAGGAGCTGCAAAGATCATGGAGATTCGGGTGGTGCTGGATTGGAGGAAAGGGCCACGGGGCATGGCATTGTGGGTAATTTATTACAATCTTGCTGAGTTTTGGGGCTTGACCAACAAGGGGAAGATGACAAAAGATAAGCCAGGAAAGGATCACCTGTCGACCCCCAATTTCATAGGCGAGACCCAGCTAACTTCAGCAAGGGCGTAACTTTGGCTGGAAAATTGGGGGGGTTGAGGTCTCCACCCATTACAGGGGAAACATGATTATTGGTGGGGTTGTATTAGCTGGTTTTGATTTATTGGGGGAGCTACAACCCCCCCATCCCCCCCATAATTTATGCCCATGAACTTCAGCCCTCTGAGGAGATCTGCATTGTCCAGAGAGTTCAGAGTGAGGCAGCATCTTTCAGATAAGTGGATGCAGCTCCCTCAAGAACAGCCCTTAACACAAATGCCTCCCGCCCACTTTGATGGGATGAGCAAGATCGCGAGTATCCAACAGAGGGAGCACAACTGTAAAAAAAACGCACATACATCTTTTACCTACATCATGTTGCTAGTAGAAAATAGTAAAAGATTTACTTCATAAATATAGATATCAACGTGCACGGTTTTTATTTATTGTGTGCTGCCAAGACTTGCTTTAAGGTAGAAACAAAATAGATGCTTCAAATACTAAATGAAAGTCGTAAATGAATGGAATTTCTCTGCGCTGCATCCTGCACGCAGATCCATGTTCCGCGCGGCCACGTGCAGCTTGAAAGGCGTATTGTGTTTTATCGATTGTTGGATGATCTTTGCGTAGGAGTGAATGCACCCACAATCACGGATTACTAGTAAAACATCAAATAGATAACAGTCACGACAGAAACAAGCTTTCAACAGTTCTTGCATTTTGACACAGAATCAGTCCATCATCTGCAGGTATGTCTGAGTTCGTTCTGGCTAAAGTATATAAATGATCTGCTATTAGCATTAAATGTGCATGTTCATTTTTTTGACAAAACTAGCAAGCCGTGCCATAGAAAGGGTTTTCTCCGTTATTTTACCTGGCATTGCATGGAAATAAATCCCAATGTCCCATAGAGAGATTGTTTTCGGAGTTAACCAATTCCTTTTTTGAATAATAAATTAAATTTGCGCCACTATCCTCATATATAGTCTACGTGACTAAGATGTCATCTACTATTACACGTCCCATTCAATCTGAATCGTATATTAAGAATTGGCGGGACTGATTTGACGGTCAGCACGATTTACTTAAGCAAACTTCAGTTTGGTGTCGTACATTATTTCTACATTATTCTTTATTCATAATTAATACCGGAAATGTTAAGTTATATCTTTTGTTTATATATTTCACGTAGCCATTGTTAGTGTTCAGCAAAAAAACAACAAGCAAACCTAAAAAAAAGTTTAAAAAGTAACTCCACAATAACGCGCAATCGCGGCGTTAAAGGGACGAAACCTCATGAATACGGCTGTGGCATCTTATAAAATAGATAAAAGAGATTGTAATTTCGAGTTTAATAGCATATCAAAAATATAGGCTACTATATTATTGAGCTTTTGATTCACACATTTTGGCTGTGTGCATTTCCTACTTAGCGAGTGAGCGCCTAAACGTCAGCCCACTTGGGGAGGGCACTATTGCTCAAAATGCTATGAATGTGACAGCCAATTGTCCAGACTGCCTGCGTGGGGAAGGTGAAAGCATAAGCCGTGGACAATTAGTGAAGACGATGAAATCAAAGAGGACGCGTCCGCACACGCTAGACTGACACTGGGGAGGAAAAGCGCAACTAGGGACGTCGCTCTTTTGCGTGGCTGGGTCACATTGTGCCAAACGTCGAGAAACACAGGGGATAGAGAGCTGCTGTGAGACGTGGTACCAAAAGCGTTACCCGTAGGGGGGTAAAAATGACAGTTGTATCTTCAGAAAACCTAGAGGAGACTGTGGCCCTTGCAGCCCTGTCTCAAGATGTCTGTAATCCGGAGCGCATGGACCAGGAATGCTGCGAGAGGGTGGTCATCAACATCTCCGGACTGCGCTTTGAAACTCAGCTCAAAACACTGGCTCAGTTTCCATCAACACTGCTGGGGGACCCAAGAAAAAGGATGCGATTCTTTGACCCTTTGAGAAACGAGTACTTCTTTGACAGAAATCGACCCAGTTTTGATGCCATCCTTTATTACTACCAGTCCGGGGGGAAGCTCCGGAGACCTGCTAACGTACCTATGGACATATTTATGGAGGAGATCAAATTTTACGATCTGGGCGAAGACGTGATTGAAAAATTCAAAGACGACGAAGGTTTTATAAAAGAGGAAGAGCGCCCGTTGCCAGAAAGCGAGTTCCAGCGCCAGGTCTGGCTTTTGTTCGAATACCCCGAGAGCTCAGGACCAGCCAGAGGAATAGCAATAGTTTCTGTCGTGGTCATTTTGATATCCATTGTTATTTTCTGCATGGAGACCTTGCCGGAGTTTCGGGATGCGCACGGATTTCCCGAAGATCACTTTTCTGTCAATGGAACTTTAGGAATGGAAAAACCAAATCCATTCACCGATCCGTTCTTTATCGTGGAGACCTTGTGCATCATCTGGTTTTCATTTGAGCTGATGGTGAGGTTTTTTGCGTCTCCCAGTAAACCCGCCTTCTTTAAAAACATTATGAACACCATCGATATTGTGGCAATCATCCCCTATTTTATCACGGTGGGGCTGGAGCTGGCGGAGAGCCAAGGCAATGGCCAGCAAGCAATGTCGCTGGCCATTCTAAGAGTCATCCGCCTGGTGCGAGTCTTCCGCATTTTCAAACTGTCTCGACACTCGAAGGGTCTCCAGATTTTGGGGAAGACACTCCAGGCGAGCATGAGGGAGCTCGGTCTCTTAATATTCTTCCTTTTCATAGGTGTTATTCTGTTCTCCAGTGCCGTGTACTTCGCTGAGACCGATGACCCACAGTCTTCATTCAGCAGTATCCCCGATGCCTTTTGGTGGGCAGTAGTATCAATGACGACCGTGGGCTATGGAGACATGTGCCCTGTCACTGTTGGGGGCAAGATCGTCGGATCATTATGTGCCATCGCCGGTGTGCTTACTATTGCGCTGCCCGTCCCAGTCATTGTGTCGAATTTCAACTACTTCTACCACAGGGAGACGGAACATGAGGAGCAATCACAATATACTCATGTTACATGTGGTCAACCGCAGCCTACATTTGGGGATGTCAAGAAGTCTGACAGCAAGCCTTCCCTCACAAAGTCTGATTTAATGGAGGCTGAAGACCTGGATTCATTGAAATACATCAATTACAGCCCGCATAAGCCGTACACGGGCAAGTTCACCGACGTATGATGCGGGACCGCATGTTACGGACTCCTGAAACATGCGTGAAGCAGCTTTGTGCGCCTACCCCCCTCATTTTGGCTTCGAAATGTTTACAGCCTTTTTTCGACGTTTGATGCTAACTCACTTATAATTATAGGATTTTTCATCAAAATAATTGAGAAAGGGACGGAATTTGTAAATTTGCGCGTTTCATCCACGTGTCTTCCAGTTTGTGCGCCTATTAAAGCGTAAAGTTGCATTCGGCTCGCTTATGAGCAGTAAAACAGCCATTTTTATTACATGCTCCATTTCCAGTAGCACTTTATTTCTTATTAATATCTATGGCGTTCATTACAACAAGTTTACATTTAATTTAAGGAGCAAGAACATTGGACCAACTAGTTTTAATTACTGAAGCAAATGTATTCCTCTATTACAGGTCTATAGGGTATATCTCTGGACAGTGCAATAATAATAATAATAATAATAATAATAATAATAATAATATGCTAGGTCAATCGGAGAGTTTGAACTTTTGCAGTCTAGACATCGATTAACGTAATTTATTTTCCATTGAGGTCACAAAAAAGCATGAGCAATATACAATTAGCCTGATCTATCAATATAGATATAGCCAGGTTAGGAACCCATGTTCTACGTAAATAGCTGTCATTAAGATGTCTGGTATACCAAGAAACAATATGATCGCTCGTTCCAAAAATTTACCTCCAAATAAATATTTCGTGTAAAAAGTCAATGTACGCACTTTGAACAGACCTATATGTTTCTTTTAATCCGATGACATCAAACCAAAATATTAGGAATAGGTGGTAAATCCGTCCTTCAACGTCGCTAAAATTAGTCGACACACCCTTTGGTACAATAAAGCGGCTATTCTCATTGTATAAACAAATTTCATTACGTACGAACCCGTTCGATTTATATGAATGACAAGTAATCCATATATTGGTATGCATACGCTAGTATGTTTGATTATAATATTGTATACAGATTAGGGCGCCACCGCGTGGACGAAAATGAACTTTTGATACAGCAATGTTTCTATAGCAACCTTCCAGACATTCTTATGCCTTTGTCGTAATAGAAAGTTAGAAAGTGGTATTATAATCTTGGTGACTTTTTTTTTTTTTGCATTTTGAGTAACGTTTTGGGTGTTTGACACCGACTTGCGAGGATCTGAGCGATAATACGATGGGCAATTTCAGCACTAAATATTGTTGTTCAATTAATATTAAAAACAATAAAGCAGAGAAATAAGGAAACACAACCAAGTGAACTGTGAATTAAGACCTGACAACAACAATGAAGATTGAACAACTAAAATAAAATGAAGATTGAACAGCTAAAATCAAACAATTAAATTAAATGACTATGGAAAAAACAGCAATACCTACATGGATGACGTGACTTTGGAAATTGGCAACAAGACAGATGTTCCTAGAAGTCAACAGAAACAGCCCCCGATTTTTCGCATGTTAAATAAAATGGAACTACTGGAAGACCTATAGCGACCATGTTTATACATCGAAGTGCTGTGACTTCAGAATAACTTACATAACTGCAGAAATTCGCCTGCAGACAAAACAATCGACGCAACTGAAGCAAATGAAAACGGAATCTCGATGTACACACAGCAAGACTCCGCAACCATCTTATTCCCAGGTGAGAAATGTCCTTAACCTTACGCTATGACGCGTACGATCACGTGACCAAAAAAAAACACTTCAATATTATCCATAGCAAATGTAATGTCTAGGCCTATAACTTATATTTCCCGTAAATTAGACTACATTTCTTTTAATGTCATTTCCAAAATAGGGGTTTGCACATAGCAAAATAACACCTGCAATCTTTACACGTACTCAACAATGCCAATATCACAAAATGACAAAATAATCAAAAACTTCTCAGTTATGAAAACAGAGATTTTTTTCTTGGAAGTACATTGTCAACCCCTCACATGCTACATATGTGCTAAGGTGCTGTCTATAAAGTCGTATATTTATGCTATGGATCACTATACTCTTACTATCCATTGCCAAAGTAAAATATATTAAGTTTTAACCACTCTGCCACCTATACGTTTTTAAAACACTTGGTTATTTTTAATTACGGAATTTTATGCAGACTACTAATCATAAGGCATTTGGTGACATTGGTAGCAATAGTAAAAACACCGTGGTGATAAACATGCACACTTCCCTCTTCATCCTTGCAGGTCGCAGATCACACTCAAGGGAAGCCTCCCTTTGATTCCTTCACACGGCACAGAACCTTCCAGACCGGTAGAATGTCAGGCGTCGACTCTGAGCTACAGGGGACCTGCTTCTGAAGAGGAATACTCAGAGCGAAGGGATAAACGCTTCGAAGAAACATCTCCATCGCAGAAGAACTGAACATTGGAAATCGCTCCCATGGATGTTTACCACATGTTCTCTGCTTTACACTGAGTAATATCCTGCCCACACAGCAGCGGATATCTTACTGTTTTACGTCAACCAGGTGCCAGCTTCAGTATTAAGTGTTTCTCGAATCACCAGTCATACACATCCAACTTGCTTAATATAAAACTTTAAAATATTCGACATAGAGTTGTCTAAAAAGCCTCCTGTCATAATACAAACATATTTGTGGTCCTGTAAGAATTTCCTGTAAAGGACATGAACATTGCATATCTGTTCCTGAACCAAAACTGCATTTTGCATGCTAGCAAATCATTGAAAACCTTTGCTCTAAAGTATATAGCTCAAAACTTCTTTAGTGTCAGTATGCTACCACAAGGGAGCAACTGCACAACAGCACTGTTCAAAAGAATGAGCTCGACAATATTAAATCTTTATTTTTTATATATTATATATTTCATGTATTTATACAATAGCATTACATAAATGGGTGAATTTTTTGTAGACTTGTATGATGCTACACGATTGCCTTGAAAAAAACAACATGGTACGAGAGGGTGGAAAACCCTTCCTGCTAATATGTATCGGAATCTTAGTGCATATAATCAAGGGTAACAAATTCACTGCAGGTCTTTGTTGTTTCATGTTTATGGTTATTATTAACGCTCTTTGTTTTCTTCTAAATCGGAATGCTGTATCACTTTTTGAAAACATCTACCTCATGTTCAAATGTTTAACTTTTTACGAGTGGTCAAACACCATGCTTATGGATGAATGTTATATTACATTACTGAATCCATTGTGAGATATGCTTTAAATGTTCTGTAAGCCATAAAAAGGTGGTGTTCATGTTAATTCCATTTATCTGTTGTGCAATGCTGTTATGTTATATAGCCATACCAAAGTTTTGAGTTCAAGGTAGGCAGTGGAAAGCTGATCCTGAACTATGGGTGATGGACCATGGACAGACACCCATGCGAAAGGGATATTTCATCCCTTCAGCAGAACCTGGAGACTCACAATAGTTGTTTTAGTGGTGTTAAGACTTCATAAACAATTGTTTTATAATATGCGATCCTTTGCTCTAGCTACTCATAGATCTGTGCCATACAATTCCAGTCTTTCAAAGTGTTGACTGTACATATCATGTCTCAACAAGTGATTCTGTCTCAACGAGTGAGTCAGACTATGAACATAAATCTAGCTTCACATCCCTCCTGTACTGTAAATGTGTAAATTAACACAATTTATAGAATATTTTCTTTGAGAAACTTAGAAGAGTAATACTAAATGGTTAACAGTATTTTTGAATATTGTACTTTAACTGTACATCATGCTTGTACTCTGCTGACATTTTTCCATAAAAGATTATACTTTTCTTGAATTGTACAATTATAATGAAATATTAGCTCTTGATGTGACAGCTACTGTATTGCATAAAGCAGTGGATCCAGTGAGTTACCAGGGGAAAAAGTGCATTTTTAAGATTCGCCACTCCAGTCTTCCTGCACCCCATCGAGAGTGACTTTACGTAGAAAATGATGCCATCGTTAAACAGGAACCACTGGAAGATCTAGTCTCTCCGCTTCCACAATTTAAGGTCCGTTATCCGCACGAATGGCCAAAAGCCACTGGGTCACCCCTGCAGCTCCGCTTTTGAAGCCATTGAATCACAGAAGTGCTTATAAAACAATGACATGACTCCTGTGCTTTATAAGCAGCATCCACACAATGCAGGTTAAGAGCCGCCTTCCGAGAACAAAATGTGTCATGAACAATATGTTTCAATTAAATTATGCATGATTTAACGCTGAAGCAGGTTACATAATACAGGCAAGCAAATCCTACTTTAGCATAATGAGATTTTGCTTAAGGCCAACTAGCTATTGACCAAGGTGCAACTAAAAAGCAGGTATATCTGGCACTTATAGAGCATAGTTTAGGGAAATTATCAGAAAGGACAGATTTTGTAACCTAGTGGTAAACTGTTGGCAGTGGCAGCGAAGGTCATTTTGGGGTGGTGGTCACACACGAAAGACTTGAATTAGCCTTGGGCTTATCGATTTTTGTTGGTGGGTCTCTGGGGTGAAAACTGTAACACATTAAGGCAAGGTGAAATACAGCAATAGGACAAAAAACAAATAAAGGGGTCACTCCTTATACAGAGCTGTGGAATAGGAACCACTACGATAAAGCACCATAAGAATTACAAAAAACAAAAGAAAAATATTTTATATAGGCCTAATTATCTTGTTCTGTGTTATTTAATTTCATTTGTGTACTAGGAATTCTGCCTCATTCAATAAAACAATGCTTTCTATATGTATAAACGTGTCTTATTGCGGTAAAGAGGAATAGATCATTTTATAGCAAAATTACAAAACGTGAGGTAAGATGCATTTAAATGCATTATATTTTAAACGTGACATTATATGATAATCAATAATTCAGATAAACGAAGTAGGTTTCAGTTCTTGATGGTTTGGATGTTGTATCCTGTATGTGTCTGTGTGTGTATATATATATATACATATATTCCAGTATGTATTTTTGTTCTTTATGTAGGCCTAGGCCTATACCTTTTTTTCCGATAGCATCGCATGCGGCGCTAAACAGGAACCAATTTCAGTCGCTGGAGTGCGGCAGTCGGACAGCCTTCAGTGACGGACTCGACGGCTGTCTGTATGATCTTTAGCCGTTCTTCTTTTCTTATTAATGCAAGACATATGAATACCTGTTAATGTCTTGGCTTTATAGAGAAAATATGAAATTCCGAAGGCGGAATAAGTAAATTGACAAACGTATATATTAAACTTTCACAAATGATTCGTTGAACAGCAACTATTTTTCTACATGAACCTTCTGTAAGTTAAACCAAGCGCGCAAGCCACGGACTTTTTATTCAGAAATAAATATCCTATTTGGATGACGCAGATCAAGAAAGGGTAACGCATGTTTATTGTCTTTTATTTACGTCATATATTATTAGTCTTGTTGCTCGATGAAATAAATATCCGTGGCCTTGACACTTATTTTGCCCGAAAACAATACAGGAAGCGCTAGCTAAAAATATTTCCACTGTAATGATGCCAGTTCTGTGTGGATTAACCTTATACTATCTAGCTAACGAGATTAGTGCAACGGAAGTATAGTTCGCACATATCACTAAAGACCGATTTATTGTGCTGATAAAACCGAATCGTTTTAATTTTATTTAGATTTTGCTGCTAAATATTCTTCTGTACTTATCTTCTTTATTTACTGCAAAGCTGGTAAGACGACATTCGTGTTAACGTCGCTGCTTCGAAATCGATTGATAAAGTAGACTGATCTAGTATATCAGTGGGTAGCTTCATCGGTCCACGGTTGTAGGTTCACGGCCCACCTCTGTGTATGGGGTATGCCCCTTCTACAATCCAGACATGCGTTTAGGCTAAATTTTCTGCAGTGTACGATTGTACTTTTGTGCATCTGTGTGTCCTGTAATGGACTGGCATCTTGTCTAGGACATATCCCAGCATTGTGCCCTGTTCTGCCTGTGATAGGCTCCAGGCCCTCCCATAACACTGACCACGCTAAGCATATAGAAGGTAGATCAATAGTTAGTATACTAGCCAAATAACATTCATTCTTGTTCCTGTAATTCATTTGGTAATGGCCGGTGTAGTTCACATGGTATCTGATTCCAAGTTCTATACCTCTGGACTATGCAGATGCTTTTGTAAATTATTTTGTCTGAATTGGGAAATGGTGTATGTACTGTACAGTCTTTAAGGAGCACACATAGAGCTCTGACAAAATTTAATCACTATACATTTGCTCATCCAGAGTGTCACGCTGATTTCCTGACAATGGCTCTGGCTTGCATTCCTTACACGCACCATTTATGTCCACTAGTCACAGAGGATCAGCTGTGTTGATGTAAAGATGAAGATGTTCTCAGCGTCACACAAGACCGCCTTTGTGGTGGACCATTGTCACTACATGGCCGAATCGTGCCGGCAGCAGGTGGAGTTTGACATGCTGACCAAAAACCGCGCGCAGGGCGTCATCCCGCTGGCCCCCGTCTCCAAGTCCCTGTGGACGTGTGCCGTAGAGTGCTCCATGGAGTACTGCCGCATTCTCTACGACATCTACCCCACCAGAAAACTGGTAAGCCCCACATGATCCTTGTTCTCTATTACATGCAGCAGTACATTGAGTCCCGTCCATCCATCCATCCGTCTATGAAAACCGCTGTTTAGTACAAGGTCACGGTAGTCCCTGAATTCACAGGACACCTTGCCCTGAAGATATCAAGCAGACATGTAGATTCTTAAATGAATATAGGATCTCATTAATTGCAGTTAAGCTAGAAGGAAGTTTTTAAAAACTGTATTGAGTTTCACTGTTTCACTGTGCGAGTTTCTCCGTGCTTTATATGATAGCCTGTGTTGCAGTGGTTTGTTTCTTCCCCCCCCCCCATTGAGACACTGAGCTGTTTGTCTATCATGTTAATCACCAGGTGAACTACATAGTCAGCGACTCAGACTGTCACATCCTGAACAGCTGGAACCAGGTGGACCAGAACACTCAAGAGGTACCATTGGCATTTTGGCCTATCAAAACATTTGATACTATGTAACAATGCACAATATAAGAATTCGACACAATGTAACAAATTTTCTTTACACGATGTGGTGTTATTATATAATGTTTTGTCACACACCATGTAACAACGTATTATGTAATAACAAAATGTAACAAATTTTGTTTAGGAAAATTACATACATTTTCAAGGGTGTGTTTCCCGAAAGCTTTGTGGCACTTAGTTCATTATCTTCTACTTAAGATCATTCATTGACTAATGAGTGTTTCTCAAAACCCTGTTTAACTGAAGTAATTCATATCCTCATTCATAAAATAACGAGTGATCAACCCACTCATTATTTTCTATATCGTTTTTTATTCAAGCTTTAGCCTGCTATTCTGTCATAGACACAGAAGCCACCTGGAATGGATCATAAAAACACACTGATGCTCTCTTTTGGACTATGTGATGATGATGGTGAAAATAGATTCATGTTGTAATATAAAATTATAATGTAGGCTATAGATTTGTTATATTTTGTTATTGCATAATAATGTTATATAATGCGTTGTTACACAGTTATTACATAACACAGCATTACTGCATAATGTGTTGTTACACAGTTATTACATAACACAGCATTACTGCATAATGCGTTATTACATGTCACATTTCCGTAATATCATGAGCACTGTTTTTGAGGATGAGCGATCTGAACGCGAGAAAACATAAAATCTAGCTGTATGCCAGGAGTTATCAGCAAAATTCAGTATCAGTTATAGATATAGACTATTAAGGGCTTAAAGTGTGAGATACAAAATGCGTGTAATTTTGGAATAACCAATATAGATCCCACTGAGGAAAACATAGAGAGTAATTATTGGACGTACAACACCAGTTAAAAGTCTGGACACACCTACCCATAGAAAGATTTGTACTATTCTCTACATTTTAGAATAATTATAAAGACATCAAAACTATTAAATAATGCATACACAATTATACACTAACCAAAGAAGTTGTTGCTGCTTCAAGGACTGACTGACCCTACTGTCTCTATGTCAGTTCCATGAGGGGCCTCCTGGGATGCTTTTCCAGCTGTCCTGAAGCAGGTCCCACATACGCTATATCACTGGTTCTCAATCTTTTTCCTGGTGCCCCCCCCTGCTGGCTCAGATGGCCCCTAATAGGCTAACAATCAATGTGGCAGGTTGAATACAGTGTGGGTTGAAATGAAAACATTCTGGAAGGGGGCATCAGGAACAGGATTGAGAGCTACTGCACTATTTGGACAAAAGTACTGGGACACCTGGCCATTATACCTACAGGTACTTTTATGACATCCTGTTCTAAGTCCATAGCCATCAATATGGAGTTGGTTCCCCCCTATGCAGCTAAAACAGCCGCCATTCTTCTATTCTTCTATGGCATCACATCAGTTGGACTCGTTCGCAAGCAACACATCGATTGAGGACGAAGAGGAATGTTGTCATGTAGCTAAGTTAAAAACAAACCATGGTTTATCTGTCTTGTAATAGCAATTTAATAGTCGAGCTTTACCTCTTTTTTTATGGACATGCATTCATTGATTCTTGTTGCCCACTTGCCTGTTCCCTCCATCAACAAAAAAACAGATGCTATTTTTATACTGATGAGGGGAACAGGTGAGTGGGCAATGGGAATCATTGTACGCATGCTTGTAAAAATAGTTAAAGCCATGGTCTTCGTAGTGTGCAAGCAGTCCCAAAACTAGGAGCCATCAGCCAATGGCATTCTCCGACAGAATATGCCATGAGCCCGCCCCCCAAAACTCAAGCACAAAAATTTCACTCGAGGGAAGATAGCAGCCGAAAGTAATCTACTGTTAAGTCTAGAACAGGGCTATTCAACTCACGGTCCTTGAGGGCCGAGCACTGCTGATTCTCCAGCCTTCCTTCACCTGCGAGCCAGGTGCGAAGCCTCTGACCAATCAGAATCAGTAATTATTAAACTAACTACCAGGGAGAACTGAAAACAAGGCCTGGATTTGGAATCGAGGGCCTGATTTGAATAGCCCTGGTCTAGAGGGAAAAAAAAACATAGTCTGAGTGTGATAGTATGATAGACGCGGACGCAGTTTTACATTTACGCTCGCAAGTGGGATATTTACGCAGGTTTATATTTTTCTTGTTGTGTAGCGTCTCTAGTTTTGGCATTGATGTGATGTCATACTCTGCTAGGAAGGCTTTCCTCAAGCTTTTGGCATGTTTCTGTGGGGAATTTTTGCCCATTCATCCCGGAGAGCATTTGTGAGGATAGGCACCGATGTTGGACGTGAAGGCCTGGCTCACAGTCTCCGCTCTAGTTCATCCTGAAGGTGTTTGATGGGGTCGAGATCAGGGCTCTGTTCGGGCCAGTCAAGTTCTTCCACACCAGACCTTGCTTTGTGCACTGGGGCGCAGTCCTGCTGGAACAGAAAAGGGCCTTCCCCTAACTTCCCACAAAGCTGGACGCATATAATTGTCCAAAATATCTTGGTACGTATACCAGCTCCATAATTGATGCCTATGGATTTAGAATGGGATGTCAGAAAAGGTCCTGTGGGTGTAATGGCCAGGTGTCCCAACACGTTTGTCCATGTAGTATATATGCCAGGCACTAATTGGCTACTTTTCCTTCACCCTTTGGTCACAATCCTCCTGAACCATCTCTACCGGGTTTCGGTCAGGTGGTCAGGTCATGTGATGCAACACTATCACTCTCCTTTGTAGGTGGCTTGGCGCGTGCAAACTTATGATTGGTACTTTATGTGCTCAATACTCTGTCAGGTGGCGAAAAACAGCTGAAAATATTTCATATTAGATAAGATAGACATTACTGTTCTAGGGGGAAAGTCTTGTGCAGCAGTGAGATACTTGGCATGCACAGGTCCAAACATAGTGCAAACCGAAGTGCACATGTAGTACAGACACACAATATTGTGCAGAAAATAAATATAAACAAATGACAGGGGGGGGTTATGTGCAGTTAATGTAGTATTTGTACCTGGTCCAAAGATGCTCCTACATTTTGCTGCCTTGGAGTCAGACAGTAACCTTAATTATTTGGAGTAGGAAGTGAACTGGGACATTCAGTGAGACTCTGTTGGATGAAAAAATAATCTAATGTCTGTAGCCAGAGAGTAAGAATAATCTGTGTGTGCAGCCTTGGGGCGCCGGGAAGCGCAGGGATAAAGGTGACATTTATGCGTGGAAGTTAAGGAGGTCGGGTCAGTGGGCGGCTAACGTGTTACGCTCTCCGCGGCAGCTGATGGCGAGGCTGGCTGTCGTGGGGCCCCCCAACCCCAGCGAGGACCCCGAGTGCTGCAGCATCCTGCACGGCCTGGTGGCCGCCGTGGGGTCCCTGTGCAAGCTGACGGAGTACCAGCACGAGGCGCGCACCACCCTCATGGACCAGGCTGAGCGGGTCAACAACCGAGGACGCATCATCTGCCTTACCAATGCCAAGAGGTACGGGCGGGGCCCCATCCACGGGGACTTGCACGCTCTTCAAGTCTTATTTTTAAACCCCGAGTAAGGGCCGCTCCCTCGTGTAACGTGTCCTCCTTGTGTTGCAGTGACACGCACGTGCGCATGCTGGAGGATTATGTGCAGGAGACCATCCTGGAGCAGAACAAGATCGCGGCCGCTTCGGATCGGTGAGTTCCGGCACGGGTGGCTGGACTTGGGTCCGAGACATCCGCCGACCTCACGTTAACCCAGTCTGTCTTTACGTAGCCGAATAAGGAACTAAAGCCCGAATAAGGGTACGCCGTCAAGGCTACGTTCATATGCTTGCCTCTAAGATTGAGTAATTTATAAAATTTAGCACACAGAATACTTTATCGCCAGTATTTGCAGACATACCAGTACTGTTTGTGGTTCAGTGCCAAACACAAAATACCGGATAGTGTTCCCAGATGCGTGAAATTGTTTGTTTATGATTTTAGGTTAATGGGAACATAAATATTTTACCTAAGTTAACCAGTGCAGAGTAACATTTTGCAGTGAAATCAGTCTGCCACAGTGATTTATGCTCTGTTGCAGCCAGAATAACAATTATCCTACCAGTATTTACCCTGTATTCACAGCTCTGCCCTTGGCTTTGGTCAAAGCTGTTGGCATAAGGGCCTCATGGGGTGTTTCTGTCTTCCAGACTGATGCAGATTCAACAGTGTGAGCTGGTTCTGATCCATACCTACCCGTTTGGAGAGGAGACTCTGGTCTCTGACCGGCCTAGAAAAGAGGTAGGGCTTTGTGGCCTTGCGTAAGAGGAGAGATAAAGCCTGCACAATTTTGTGTCCTAAATCTTGTTGAGTGTGAAGGCTGTATTTTACCATAGTACAGCGCTCATATTTTTCCAGTAATTATCTCTTGTATCATGTAATCATGGTAAAACTCATCCCGTTAGCACCGACAATGAGCACGCTAATGCTATGCTAACGCTAATATGTGATTCACAAGGGCCTCACTTCTGTGTGAAGTGCATGGGAACTATGGGTCTTTTTTCTGAGAGAATTTCACTTCCTTGCTCGCTGATATCGCTGCTTGACCCTGAGGCTGGGGGCTGGAACGATAACCCATTTACTCACGTGTTGGTTCACAACAGCTTTCCTACTACACAGATGTTTACATTGCTGGAACTTGGCAGTTCTCGCTCTGGAGACTTTGGTAGCAATATAGGAGCAGGGGGACATTACCAGCTGCAACACAAGGGGGCAGCAGAGGGGACAGTACATATGAGAGGCGCAGGTGTAATGAAACGATGACGGGAGAGTTTTTGCAGAAGTACTAACCCTTTGTTAGGGCTGGTTTGAAAAATTGATTTCCTGATTCAAATCGATCTTAATTTGCATAATCCAATATTGATTCATAAAATCCCAAGATCAAAGTTTTTAATACACTCAGTGACAAAAAAAAAAGTTAAGCACCCAGAAGTAATGGTCCGATTTGGATGTACTTTGGTACATGAGCAGACCGTTGATGGGTATGTATATGATTCGATTTGCAAGGAGCTGGCATGTCCAGTCACCAGATACAGAGGATGCCTCGTAGAAGCATTAGACAGCATTACCGGCACTTGCTGGAGTTGGTATGGGTGCCACACCCTACTGACATGGGACCAGCAGTGTGCCCATACTGCCAACTCCGTTGTCTGTTTGATCTGACATAGCAATATTTGCGATTCAGTCACATGACCTTTCAACAAACATACAGATACATTTCATTTCCACCACTCCATCTGGGTGCTTAACTTTTCTTGTCACTGAGTATAAATAACTTTTACAGTCTCTTCCTGTGGTTGTGTGTCGCTTTAACACTGTCGCTTTAACACTGTCGCTTTAACACTGTCGCTTTAACACTGTCGCTTTAACACTGTCGCTTTAACACTGTCGCTTTAACACTGTCGCTCTCACGCGGCCAACCTCGCACTACCAGATCTAGTGGACAAAACCAGATAAAATACACAGTGGGAACTGCTTTCCTCACGGTTGGGCTGCATGGGTTATTTGAAATATTTGTGCGTAATATTATGCTGGCTGTAAAAAAGTGGTTAAATGTACCCAAAATAAACTGTAGCCAAAGAGAATGTGGTATTTTCTACCAATAGAGTGTGTCAAATAAGTTGGTGGTGTTGCCAGTAGTTTTGTCAACAAACACAAGCCATTGCAGACAAATGCAGTGTGATTACAGGGCTTTATGTAACGGATGCATTTCTGGATACCGGCTTTTGGCACTACGTGGATGTTTGCTTACACCCACAATTTGATAAGCAGGTTAGTAATATGCTTAAAATATTAAAGAGAGGCATACTGTGACACCCAGAAGTTACTAATCTGTATGAATTAGGTGTATCTTTATGTTTAATAAGCATCGGATTTTAAACTGCAAAAAATACCACCACAGCACCAACGTCTTTTTTAATTTGTTTATCCACAATATCTCCTCTTTCAAAAGATCTTGTGGCTACTAAGCTTTCCCTTTCTTCACCGCCACTTCAGTGCTTATCGCTTCCCTGATTTACCAGAACAGTAGCGACCACAGTGCTCTGCTAACCGAATTTAATAAACATAAGGATATGCCAAATTTGCCCAGATTACTAATGTTTGGCCGTCACAATCAATATTGAATCAAATCCAGTGGAATCGGAAATCAAATTGATTCGGGACCTTGTGAATCGGAGTTGAATCGATTTGGGAAATCAGTGGTGATGCCTCCGTACCCCACGTCTGAATCATAGCTGTAAGGGTCTCTGTATCTGACCATTAGCTTGTTGCCACTTTGGCTCTGTCGGAGCACTGAGTTACCTTGGGCTGTGTGTGGTTCCTGAGAGTAGGGCCTTGTCCAAGTAAAAAGATGATTTAGATGGGTTACTGTGGAGGCATTGTGAGGATCCTGAGGTCTGCCATTGTCACTGTAGAACGGTGATTTGATTGGGTTACCATTGATAGCGTGGGGATCCTGAAGCCCTCAGTCATTTCTCTGAAAACTCCCCGCTGTCCTTCTAGATCTCCTCGGTGTTGAGCAGCGAGGTGCACAGCGTGCGGGCCGGGAGGCACCTCGCATCTAAGCTCAACGTTCTCGTCCAGCAGCACTTCGACTTGGCCTCCACCACCATCACCAATATCCCCATGAAGGTGAGCTGCCGCCCCGCCTAGCCTCGCTCTTTAAACTCTCTCGTGTTGAGATTGAGGATGAAGTTTTGCTGCTTTTCTTTACACACCCTGTTTTCTGTTTTGCTAGCCCACATTAAATGTCTGTGACCAGGTCAGTACATTTTGGCGCGCCTGAGGGATCGCAGAACTCAAGGCTCCCTTCCCATACAGACTTCCTGTTAGCAACCCCACCCCCTTTCCCCCTGCCCTTGGTCACATGATCTAGTTGTGATTGGTCTGTCCCGCCCCCTACCTTTGGTAGCCATCTCTTCTGTCCTCTTTTGTATTGTGATGAGTGGTGGCTGATGGCTGTGTGTCGAATTTCTGCCAGAGCACCCACCCGTTTCCCCCCTCGTCCTGTCAGCTGCGTTGTTCCTCTTTTTAAGATGTGCCAGATGTGAGCAGAGGCCAGCATTTAGACATGGCTTACTCTTTATATAACTCTCATTAAATGCATCGATGCATGCATTACTGTTAGTGTAGTTGTTATTGCCCTTAATTAATCATATTCTCTTCACAATATATGCATAATATTGTGTTTCTGTCAAGATATTTTTGCTCATACAGTAATTAATAGCATGAATTTGGTATTTTATTGCTTTTTGTGGCACCATTGATGATTGTGGCCATGATATAACTGATTACTTTGTGGAGAATGACCATTATGATGCTTTCTGGAGCTGTGGTCACTCTTCATTATATGTGGTTCCAACTTTTTTGTTGTCTTTAGCTCGTTCTCATCTTCTCAGCCCTCTCTAAGGTCTTGGCCATTATATCAGCGTTTCCTTCTTACCAGTCGTGTGTCGTCATCCCCGTCGCTTTGAGGTCGGAGGAAGCCTTGCCTCCTTCCGGCTGATAAACCAGCAGATGGCTCCCCTCAAACCAGTGGCCAAAATGACTCACGTAATTGAGGGTGTAACCGCTTTCGAATCCTAAACTCTTTGATACACCCGCTAGCCCAGATGACTCATTTTTATTATACCTTCTTCTAATTGCCCCAAGGACCTTGTCACGGCTTAAGTCTGGTGTGTCCTTCAATTATATATTACAGGAGGATTTAGGGCCGTTATCCCTACACCTAAAGGTTGAGTAGGGGAGTTCAAAGAAGGGTTGGGTAAGATTTGAGCGGTTTCATAGTTACGGTGCTCAAGGTCGCCTCCTTCAGTCACCGTGACTCTAAGGTCCTCGTAGTAGAAAGGAGTCGTTCTGAGTCGACTTGAAGCAGGAGCGGCGCGTGTCCGGAAGCGTGCTCTGACAGTGCCCCGACCCCCCTCTCCCCTGCCCCGAAGGAGGAGCAACACGCCAACACGTCGGCTAATTACGATGTGGAGTTGCTGCACCACCGAGACGCCCACATGGAGTTCATCAAGAGCGGTATGTGAAGGTTGACGGCCGTGGTCTCTCGTGGTGCCCTAGTGCTCCTGTACCAGGTGTTATCCTCTTAAACAAGGACCCCGAACTGAGCTCCGTCACCAAGCTTGATAATGACAGAAGTTGAGATGGTCCTTAGTGAGAACCTCCTACTCTGCTATTAAAAATACGTGACTCATGAGTTGCTCACCTGGCCCTCTCGTCCCCACCCCTTCTTGGTGGCCTCAGGTGACCTTCACCCCACAGGCAGCACCCCCCGGGACAGCGGGCTGAAGGAGACAGTGACCCTGAAGTGGTGCACTCCCCGCACTAACAGCGTGGGTGAGCAAAGGGGGGATTTAGGTTCGCTCTTCTGGTTGTAGCTGTGAATTGTTGTCAGCTATATGATTTTTAGGGAGTGTCTGATGTCTGACCCTCTTCAGAGCTGACTTGTGCCTGGTTTTAATCTTCGTTCTGTTGCTACAGAACTCCATTTCTGTACCGGCGCATATCGGATCTCGCCGGTGGACGTCAATAGCCGCCCATCATCCTGCCTGACTAACTTTCTCCTGAACGGTGAGTCTGAAGCCTGGGACTGAGCTTTGGGGAGGGGAGGCTTGTCAGAGATGTCTGATGGTGTCATAACGATGGTGTCTAGGTCGCTCGGTGCTCTTGGAGCAGCCGCGGAAGTCGGGGTCAAAGGTCATCAGCCACATGTTGAGTAGCCACGGTGGGGAGATCTTCCTGCATGTGCTCAACTGTACCCGCTCCACCCTGGAGGACCCACCGTCCATCAGCGAGGGGTGTGGGGGCAGGGTCACGGACTACCGCATCACCGTGAGTGACCAGGCGTCCCCACTGTTTTTTGGGAGGGGGTGAGGGGGAGGCATTTTATGGTGTGCACGTGGCTGAAATGAAGTCTTCCACATTAATAAGTAATCATAATTGTTTTTGAATGGTTATAATTCCATTGCTATGCTTCCTACTCACCGATCCCATCTTTTCTCTTCACCTTTAGGACTTTGGGGAGTTTATGAGGGAGAACCGACTGACACCCTTTCCAGAAGCCCAGGGTGCCGACGGTGCTGGGAAGGTCCCGCTGGAGAGGGCCAAGGGCCAGCTGGAGCGACATACACGCTACTGGCCCATGATCATCTCCCAGACCACCATCTTCAACATGCAGGCGGTGAGTGTGTCGGCATCCTGTCCATCCGTTTTGTGACGTGACCAATCACAAGCTCTCTTGAAGCCCCTGGTGGCCTAAAAGTGGGAGGTCATGTAACCTCCTCTGTTCCTTCTGATACTGGCTCATGTTTTCAAGCAGGTCTGGCTGTTGTATGTTGCGTCCCATTCTGTAACCCACCTAAATGTTACCCCTAAGAATTGGAGTCTTCCTTTTCACAGGTGGTGCCATTGGCTAACTTGATTGTGAAGGAGAGCTTATCTGAGGAGGATGTGCTGACTTGTCAGAAGACAGTTTACAATCTGGTGGACATGGAGAGGAAGAACGACCCTCTGCCCATCTCCACTGTGGGCACCAGAGGCAAGGGCCCCAAACGGTGAGTAAACTTAGTGTAAATGGTGCCCAAACGGCAAGGGCCCCAAATGGTGAGACCTAACGGACCAGCCTAGTTTTACATGAGTTATTGAGTTGCTTGGCAGATTCATTTATTTGAGGGGATTTACCTACTATGGATGGTAGCATCCCCACGGAGACCTGGATTCCAGCTGAAGTCATAAATAATAATGCTTAATTTAGTCGTGGAAGAAATGAATCATGATTCAAATTAGGTTGCCGGAGCAGCCTTTTCTGTTTCTGTAATTTGTTAATATTTAACAATTTAATTAACCCACAATTGAAAAGATAACCTACTTAATCACTAAATTAGAGATTAGTGGTTAATTTTGCTTCAACACAGATTCATTCTTTTAAACTAATTAAGGGGGAACAAACGTAGTGCTTTTTAAATCTCTGTGCGCTTTCTTTCACTAATGTGAGTTTAATATGAGTATAATGATTGTTCAGGTAAATCGGTCAGCAACTCAGGTAATTGATTAACAGTTCAGCTGGTACCAGGGCTCTGTTAAATGCCGTTCTGTTATGGTGGTGGTGGTAGGAGTACTGCCTTGTGATTGGTTGACGGTCGCTGTGCTGGGCTCCTCCCCCCAGGGACGAGCAGTACCGCATCATGTGGAATGAGCTGGAGACGCTGGTGCGCACCCACGTCGGCAGCAGCGAGCGGCACCAGCGCGTGCTGGACTGCGTCCTGGCCTGCCGCAGCAAGCCGCCCGAGGAGGAGGAGCGCAAGAAGCGCGGCAGGAAGAGGGAGGACCGGGAGGACAAGGCCGAGAAGAACGGCAAGGACTCGGAGGCCGAGAGGAGCTGGCAGGAGTCTGAGAGGTCAGGGGCTTTTCGCTGAAGGTCACCCGGACCCTAACGCGACCAAGCTGTGAACCACAAAACTCCCTCATTTAGTGGCTGTCATGCGCTTTGCCATCGCTATGATCCAGATATATGCCATTTCCTCAGCTGCATACATTTAATTAATAAAAGTCTAATTCTCCTGAGTTTTAAGGTGGCACAGGGGCCAAATGGTGAGCACTATCCTATCCTATCCTAACATCTCCAGGATTTTGGGTTCAAATCCCACTGCTGCTGTGCATTGAGTTTGCATATTCTTTCTGTGTTGCCTGGGTACTCCGGCTTCCTCCCATAGTTCAAAGATCTCAGAGTATGAAACCTTTGGACCAGGTCTCTTAGATCCTTAGATTGGTTTATTAGTTTGAAAATTAATCATGAATGTTCATGAGTGTTGCTAGTGCAGGGGTGGGCAATCTTATCCAGAAAGGGCCGGTGTGTATGCGGGTTTTCGCTGCAACTACCTAATTGATTACTAATTAGAGAACTGATACCTCACGCCTGGGTTTGAACAGCTGACCTAGAGATGATCCCAAAAACCTGCACACACACTGAAAATTGCCCACCCCTGCACTAGTACATTTAAGACAGTTTGCTGGTGACTGAAACATGGGGAGGATGGGGAGAGATGGGTCATGTGCCCATGTGGATTCCTCTGCCTCCCAGGCTGAAGGCGGCCCTGGAGCGTGAGAAGGACGACCTGCCAGAGTCGGAGGTGATCAAGGACTCGCCGGACTCGCCCGAGCCGCTCAACAAAAAGCCCCGGCTGGAGATGGAGGAGCTCCAGCTTCCGGAGAAGGCCAAAGGTACGGCTCCTCCCTTGGAAGTGGGCCGCATCGGGCCGTAGCCACGCGAACCCTACCAGAGCGGAGTTCAAACGAACGCCGTCACGCCCTGTGGCTGCTGAGGACCGCAAGCGGCCACCCTTTGTGCTTTTTTGCGGAAGAATTGCAAACGACATCTAAAGAATGTCAGGAATTTAACCAGTGAGAAGCTGCTTAGGTGTGTATGAAAATAAGTGCTAATGCTAAGTTTGCACTATACTACTTTTCAAGTCGTCAGATCGCTGTCCTGTTCACGCTACACGACTTGTCGTCTTGTAATCGGGAGTCTTGAAGTTCCTGCGACTTACACACTTCGACTAATCAGCGACACGGTCACACTTTGCAAGATCTTTCACCAGGAGGAATCAGTGATAAGTCTGCCTTTTCTCCAAACTATGTTTTGTCACAAAAACACAGGCAAGAACTGACATGAGGAAACTACAAATTGTTAAAACACGTTTGACAACATATGACCTACATTTACAAACACAGGGCAAATTAAGCCTTTAATACATAGGACTTCGAGGAAACACTGTCGCATACGGGGTTTCCCCTCACCCCGTGTCTCGCGCTCTCATTGGCTGTACCGCGACGGCGCATTTATTGCCAGTCGCAGCCGGGTCATAACACTTTTCACATTACAGAATTTGGAGTCGCTGACAGGTCCAGATATTTTGTCTTTGAACAGTTTACAGTAGTGATCGAGCGGTGATTTGCCAATGCCAGGCAAACACCGATCTGCCTCCAGTCTGGGGCTATTGTCAGTGATCTCCCAAAACTGTTGGCAGGCAGAAAATTGGGTTTAACATTACTGTTGGTAATCACTTCACAGAAACACTATATGGTTGAAGATGCGGAGTGTAACTCAGTATTAGAAAAATTATATCAAAATTGGGGCAGTGGCACTAGGTGGCAGCAAAGCACAGAAAGGGCAGCTGCAGAAGACACTTGATATTGTGAACACAGTAACTATAAAAGTATTTGTTGGATCCATCCATTTGTTGAAACCGTTAGTCCTATTCAGGGCCACGGGGGGTTCCGGAGCCTATGGGCGCAAGGTGGGGAATAACCCAGAATTGGGCGCCAACCCACTGTCGGGCACAATCACACACACATGCATAACTATGGACAATTTATCAACTCCAATTAGCCTCAGTATGATTTTAGACTGTGGGGGGAAACCGGAGTACCTGGAGGAAACCCCATAACGACATGGGGAAAACATGCAAAGTCCACACACATGGAATCCTGGCGGAGACTTGAACCCATGTACCAGAGGTGTGAGGTGACAGTGCCCACCACTGTGCCGGCCCTATTTGATGCATCATTTTTTTTCCAAACTTACCAGGAACATTGTATCTTTCTTTCTTTGAGGCAAGTTGCACCAAAAATCCAATGTGAATTAGTGGTGGCACATGAAAGGACAGCCACAGATGTAGGCATGGTAAACAAGATCCTATTGCGAGAAGTCACATAAAGTTGAGCTCTGAATACAGTTTTTTTTTTTATGAGGGATCGTACAGGTCGATGGGTAGGGGAGGAGTAGGGATTAGATTGGGGGAGGGGGTGACAGGTCCATCCAAGAAATGCATTGTTTTTGTTCTAACAGCATCTACTTCCCACAATATTCCCAATAACTGTGTGCTACTATACAGGTCCAGTCTCGCTCTTCACCATGTGGACCAATAGGATCAATGCCGCAAACTCACGCAAGCATCAGGAGTTTGCCGGGAGAATCAACTCTGTCAACAACAAAGCCGAGCTGTACCAGCACCTGAAAGATGAAAACGGGTTTGTATTCTGTCATCATTAAAGCAGATACATGATTGGCCACCAGTACATTTGACTGACGGCTGTCTTTTATCACACAGGATGGACTCACACGAGAATGGGAAGGCCACCAGATAATGTGACTCTTTCCGATTGGTGGAATAGCCTGTCTGTCAAAGCTGCTTTGCGTCTTGTTAGATTTGTACAGTGAGATTATTTTACTAAAAATGTGTAGCTGGATCGTGTGTTGCAACTTTTTACCTTTATATGCTGTACTCAGATGAAATGTTGCAGAGTTCTTCAGTTTTTTCTTAATACATTTCTTTTTACACACTTTTATACTAGCAAATTCTGATGTTCTGAAAGGAAATAAAAAGAATGTGTTGCTTGTTTTTCCCCTCCTGTTTCTTGAGACATCCAGGAACAACATAAGTGACTGGGATCTGAAGTGAATCGTTCCCAAAACTCAAGACTCAATTATTTATTGTCAACACATCCATGTACATGTATGTACACAGTGCATTGAAGTACCATCTCCATTGGGCACCTATGGTGCTGCACAAATACAAATGCAAAAAATAAATGTATAACAGCAGCACTATACAATATAATAATTCAATTAAAATATAAAAAGTATACAATAAAGGTTTAAAAAAATGGCCTTAAAAACTAAATTGATTAGGAAATAAGGTTAGGAAGTGGGATTGATTGGCAGACTGGATCCCTTTGCGTTTGTGTGTCCAGTTTTCATAGCTGTTTAAGCCCAGTCAAAATAGGAATTAATAATCCATATTTCCAAGATATTCCATATGAAATGAGTTAACGATCAAAGATTCCATGCTCCACACCCTTAAAAGCCTGAATTGTATCTCCATGCTCTGTTGTTTTTGGAGTGCCATGGTGATAAATTTATCTACAAAGCTGTTGGTTTAGTGGTCATGTGGTTCAGCTGACCCTTGTTACCCACAAAGAAAGTGCCTTGTCTTCAACCCTGGAAAAGCACCACATAAGTACAAATGTTTGGGCTCAGATGTCACCAAGGAGGTCAGTGACTTGTTCAGCTATGCCCATTAAATGAGTTAAAGCTGGTTTGCACAGCTTCTAAGATATGAGTTCATTGGAACTGACACTATTAGATCTCTACACCCCCACCCCTCTGTGCCTTGACATGACATCTTGCAGAGCCTTTCACAAGCCAGCTCAGAAAAAGTGGTCCTTTAATTTAAGGAAGTGTCATTTCCTGTACCAAAAAAAATATATAACAATACCTAAAAAATATTGCATAGTTGTTTATTATTAAGTTAGATTGAATCCAAGTTTTTGTCATTGTTAGTTTTTTGATAACCACAAATTAATATGAATATCATGGTCCATGTAAAACTGGTTATGATTTTGTTCTATAGAACTACATGGTTTTGTGTAGGTATAATGTTTTGTTTACAGTTCAGCTTTGCTGTGTTTATTTTTGCTTCTGATTATTACACAGATTGTGGCCAGGATGGGAGCAGACTGAGGATGGATGCATGCACACATCCATTATTATACAGTTCAATTACTGCCTTATCTAGAAATGCTATAGTTTGCTATATAGCCATTTTCACTTTTAATCCCTCCTGGAAAGGTGATGCACGCTTATGTCATCATTGCTGATGTAACATGTTTGAAACACCGTATTATTTCAATTTGTAGGGAAACCCTGAAACACTCCCAACACAGATATTAAGATCCTAGTCTTAAGTAAGAGACTTTAACCTTAAAGAATGGTATGCAATGTACAACTGCCAATGGGCTATTGTGTAACTATCCTACATTCAAACGGACATCAACAAACTGCCCTTGCCAGCTGTCATGATATGTGGTCATAATTTACATTGCATAATTTATATTACAATAATTCCTAGTGTGAAACGTAAAGGCGTAAACTGGATTTCAAACAGCACCTAAACAATCAGGAATGGCTGAAACTTTTGTTTTGTCTACACTTGGTATTGTAAGAGATAAATTAGTTTCACATATTTTGACCATAAAGCCATTGTCTTGATCGATAAACTATTCTATTGTTATTGGAATTAATTATTAATTTGGAGAGTTTTATAAATAAAGCAGGACTTTTCAAGAAATGTGGGTTACATATTCCAGTTGTTAGTTAATTAAATTAAGATCTGTTCTCAGCTGCAGACAATGACTGTGTAGGAAGGAGTCGAGTATACCACTAGGAATAATTATGCTCAGAAATATTTGAAATAATAATATTCACAATAATATTTTGATTGTGAATGCAATTTTTAACATCATTTACACAATTTTCATGTTTATCTGAAATTTACTTCCACATACTCTAGCCCTTTTCCCTAAGAAGTTTTGTACACATGAATTTAATGTAGTCTAAAATTCAACTGAACTATATGCACTAAGAGCTCAGAAGCTTAGACCAGTCCGCTAATGGCTACATAAAACACTGACTCAGGCTTTCCAGAGAAACAGCAACATAAGTTAAACAAGTAATACTGCATGTCTACAAATCTAATTAATTACTGTCCATATTTCCTGATATTGTTTGAACAGGAAAATATAAAAGGAAAAATGTCATGATCTGATACCCGGTCAAAGGCTGCCTTATGAGAATAGGCTACAATCTCAGAAAAAAAGGTACAAATTTATACCTTTGCTTGTCACTGAGGCTGTACCTTCAAGTGTCTGCCAATTATAGCCTTAGCTGCTGGTAATTGTACCTTTTAAGGTACAGAAATTGACTCAGGAACATTTCTGTACCATTGATGGTACATTAATGCTGTTTGTACATTTGGGATGTTCCTCAGATATTTTCCTTCTGTACCTTCAAAGGTACAATTACAAGGGTACAGCCCCAGTGAAAAGCAAAGGTAAAAATGTTTACCCTTTTTTTCTGAGTGTAGCCTACTGTACAGCAGCAATTCAGCCCAGGCCACAGTTATCACACAGTATATTTCAGTCTCTCACATAACCTGCAATAAATACACACTCCATACTATTGATGTGAATCAGCAGCTACTAATTAAAATGAAAGAATCTAATTTATCTCCATATGGAGCAATCCCCTGCATTACGTTTCTCCGTTAACTCAGACAGCACATACCCGCCCATCTATAACTACATGTCTGTCTTCCTTTCTCCGCAAATGTAAAAGTGCAATATGTCCCCCTAAGCGCCAGTGTGACGTTTAATAAATTCACTTCCTAACTCTAGATCTGTATGTGCAATTAAATCGTGCTGCATGCAGAGAAGTGAAATTGCAAGGACAGATCCTGGAAAAAAAAAAAGATCAAATACACAAAAATAATATTAAGTAAAAATAATTAAAAAAAAGAAATAAACAACAGCACAGATTCATTTTCTTATGGTACTGAAGGCACTTACTCAAAAACTACCAGTAAGGCTTTGCTGAGAGGTACGGCTGGAACAACTGGGCTTACTGGATAGGCTCCCCGACTGCGCGGAGCCGCTTCCTCCCAGACTAGCGAATACGAAAGTGCTTCGGAGAGGCCGCTCCGGTTCTGCACCAGGAAGGAGTCCGGAGCATGAACTGAAGCGATAATCTCCCGCAGAAAGACATCGGCGTCCTCAAGAACCGCGGTCGCTCCCCTCATCGCGCTGTCATTCTCCGGCGGGAAACAAAAAACATGCTTTCTGCCTTTCGGGGACTTAACTTTCGCGCTGGAGAAGTGTCTGGGTGTTTGGAAGACACGTTGAAGCGTTTCTAAGAAGGTGCTCATTACTTCCACGCCAGAAAGGAGTGCATGCGTCTTAACCTGGGAGATCAACTGGAGCAAATTTGGAAGAAAAATGTCCGATCAAAGATCAAGCTTTCTCCACAAAGGAGACATCGTTTCACTGTATGCGGAAGGCACGGTGAATGGGTTTATAAGCACTTTGGGGTGAGCTCCTCTCTTACTAAATGGCTGCTGAGTGGTTTTGTCATGCTTGTTTCGGACGTTTTGCTTTATTCCTTTGACAGGTGCCATCGCTTTTGCACCGCCCAAGAGCTTTTCTGGAAAGACCAGACACTTTTAAAAAAAGTTTCAAAGTGATTAACTTTATTTCCTCTAGTCTAGGGCATCAGAAGTAGGAAGTAATTTCAAGTTGTTGACAGGCCTGACAGTTGCAACTACAAGTCCGACAAACACGCCTCTTACTCCATGCACTTTTAACGGGGATGCAGTATAAGCTGGTATTTTAGAATAAAACTTTGCTGGGAAGCCACTCCGTTGAGAAACGCATTGGCGGGTTGAGCAGCTGGATCCTGTTGTGTTTTTAGTTTACAGATTTCAGTCTTTGGCGGCAGATTACGGTCCGTAAAAGCCTGCTGATGTTTCAACACGCAGAAAGTGCAGCAGATTGAAACTTCTTCCAGGAAGCGAGCTTCGGGTAGTTTTCTTAGTCTCTCTGACAGGTTTAGGCTGCGTTTATGCCAAGCCGTTTTCTCTGAGACATTTCTGCAGGATAACACTGTTTCAGTTCTAACTAGTTTAGAATGCAAAGTCTTTATCAAAAATTCTATTGTGAAACGATCGATTTTTTTTACATGCTTTTGTGTGTTTAATTAAGACTACAGTCTCTAAAGAGAAGTATTCCCCCTGACTTTTGTTGTTACTCCAAAACAAGCAGCCAGAATGTGTGTGAGTAATATACAGTATAGTATACTCCCTGACGAGGCCTTGGCGTGCATCCTGTAAAACGCTACCGTTAAATTGTGGTTTTCAGTCTCCTTTCCGTTGTAATGTTCCTGACTCGGGGTTTCACGCCACCCTCAGCTATACCTAACGTCTTCCGATCAAGTTAATGGCATCCCTGGGGGTGGAACCGTACCCCCACCAAACTGACTGCCCTACACGTGTCTGTCATCTGCTGGAGAGAAGTAGGCAGTGATGAGAGGATGCAGTAGAGAAGGACGCCATCCATATTTCTGATTTTTTCAGAGCTGTGGGGGCAGGAAACAATTTGACTCATACACCTTGTAGGAAGGCTATGTATTAGGAGAGACAGTACTTAATTGGCGTGTAAGTTCTCTTTTGGAGTATGATTTATCATCAGCTATGATGATGACTTTTTAAACCCAACCCCTGACTTTTTTCCATATTCCGAAGTTATTCAACAATCCACCCAGGATGTTATTGCCACCTGCAGTGGTCTGTGCCCTTTCTGGCTTTATTTGCACGTTTCGGTTTTGGTGCATGCAAATGCCACTTTGGGTTGATCATTTATCGAATGCAAAGCGAGCCGGCGGCGTGGCTTTTCGGTGGTCTGTTAGATCTTGCCTGTGCGTAACTCATTAACGACTCTGAACAGGACTGCGCTCTACCGACAGACGCCTGACCGTTGGATCTTTCTGGAAGCTTTTTGGAAGTTGTTAGATGTAACCCCAGAGTGCATTGCTTTTGTTTCAACCACTCCCAAAGGTTAGAGCATCAGGAATGTTCCGGAAAAATGTGCGATGACCCCCCCTCACCCCCAACTACTTTGGCTTTATTGACATATAGTGTGCCCCTCCCCCAGCAAAGCTGGGCTTCATTTCATCGAGTCAGCCTCTTCTAAACATGATTGCACAGTATTATACTAGCTTGTCTTCTAAAAATAAGCTGATAAACTTGATAATTATTGTTGATTATGTGTCTCATCTGCCCATGGGAGCAGCAGAAGATCTGTGGTCTATACAGAGCTTCACATAAATGCCAAAGTGGGGAAAAGTGTTAAAGTTAATACAGTGATCCTCTGTTAATTTTTTGGCACCTGTTTTTTTGTCTTGTAGGAAAGTCGTCTTTTTGTTTTTGCTGTTTATTGTATATCAGTGCTTTGTATGTCGCTTAAATGTGGTGCGTCTTAGAAGAGAATAGATGTTATTTTCACCCCACTACGTTGGGTCAGCTATAGTTAATACCTAGAAATATTGTCTTTTTATATTTTTTTAAATTATACATTGAATTATGTAGTGCCCAAGTTAAGTTTACTTAATCATTACTTTTAAATGAGCCGTGTCTGAACTTGGTCACTAGTCTTTTTGTGACACGCAGTAATGGTGATATAATTGCCTGTCAGTGAGCTGTAAGGTTACTGATGTGTGACCAGAGCCGCTGTTGGTTCACGTTTAACCAGACTTCAGGGCAGGATTGGCACTGTGGCTTTACTCCTGAATGAACCCAAAGGTTTATTAGCACCTCTAAGCATTTCCCTATTTTATTTATATATTTTCCGTGACATTTTCAGTTTACGTACTCCCTACTAAGTTTCTCTTAAAGTAAAAGCAAGTATGCAGGGAAAGCCAGTAATCTATATTAAAACAGGATAATAGCAAGTAACAGTAATAAAAACAACTGGGATACGACACGGCTGGTGATCAGACCCCTAATAATAATAATAATTATTATTATTATATAAATGGAGAGTCCTATGTTTAATTTTACACTCAGAAAAAAGGGTCAAAATTTGTACCTTTGCTTGTCACTGAGGCTGTACCCTCAAGGGTCTGCCAGTTGTAACCTTAGCTGTTGGTAACTGTACCTTTTAAGGTGCAGAAATGGACTGTAAGGAACATTTCAATACCATTGATGGTACATTAATGCTATTTGTACCTTTGGGATGTTCCTCAGAGTCCATTTCTGTACCTTAAAAAGGTAAAATTTTAAGGGTAAAAAGTACAAATTTGTAATGATAGATCTGAAGCTGTGTCCATACACGTCTCCATACAGTACTATTAACATAGTTAGTATTTGATATTTGCCGTAATTAAGTTTTTCTGCTTTATTTCGTTTTTGGTGTCCAGAGCTGGAGATTCCGATTCAGACGGGAGATTACCGTTTGCAGGCGTATCGGAGCGCCGTGCCAGAGGAGCTGGGGAGATACTGTACGCGTTTCCCCAGTATAAACCCCCGCTTCCCAGGTTCCCGTGTGGGGTGCGTTGATAGGGGGCCCTGTTGAGGATTTTCTCGGGAACCTGTCACGGTTTGCAATGTGAGGTTCCGACATGTAGGCGTAAGAAAACATTCGATGTTCATTGTTATGTTAGGTTATCAGCTTCCTTTGTTTCCTGAAAGTGGTCCTTCAATTCAGTCCAAGGGGAATTTTAGGTCCTGAGAAGTGGGAAGCAGGACTTTTTACCTTGTAGGGACATTTTTCTTCGGTCACCACAAGGGGAAACTCAATTTCACAAAAATCTGTGAATGGTTAGGGTTAGGGCTGGGTAGGGGTTAAGGTTAGCATAGTAGTTGGAATTAGGGTTTTTCCCATAGAAATGAATGGAGAGTCCCTATGAAGATATGCATGCCTGAAATGTGTGTGTGTGCGTACCTGTGCTTGTATGTATGTGTGTCTGTACATGTATCTATGTCTGTGTGTGATTCCTCAACATTCATCCAAGTCGCAGGTCTGCTGTGTTTCCTGAGAAGATGTTTTTATGGACCATCGTCCCGTAACGTCATGTGATGCAGACTTCTGAGTTACACATTTTGTTTTTTTCTTAAATGTCTTTCTTCCCCCTTCATTGCCGGTGACGGACGGACCCATTACTTGCCTCAGTGCCGCTAGAATCGACTGTGAACGGTGGCCTTCTTAATTAAAAAGTGAGCGTCTTGGGAATTCTGCAGGTTCTGGAGATATGTGTCACCTAATCTGCAAACCTGTGCCCAGCGCTGGAAGTTTCTAGGCACCCTTGCAGAAAGCAGGCCGCGTGCAAGGCCTCTGTTGACATTAGTCTTTCCCTCTGATCTTAGTACACATTCGAGAATAGTGAACACAAAGGTACTGAGGTTTCCACCATACACTGGTGTCATGCACCATTTACTCTTCACGGGAAGTAATACCCCACTTCTTTGTCATTGCAAGTGGTAAAATCTGCTTTTATTTTCGGATCCAAATCACAGCTGCAAAATGTACAACATTAATACTGACGTTCCATGTTATACACTTGCTGTTGTCATACTGCAAGGACTGGGACAATCGGCAGGGTTAAGACCTTAAGTTAGGCAGAAACATTTTTTCTCTGTCACAGGAAACATAGCTGAGCAAGTTTTGCAGGTTTAATAATCTGTCCTTTGCGAGATTATCTAGAATATTTAAAGAAGAAAAAAACTCTGCTGCTTTTGCGTGAGCTCTGCATGCGCGATCGTTTTCCTCCTCGTCAGAATCGCTCAGACTGTGTGGGGCATTCGGGAGCAATTCAACGAAAATGAGCGAGGGGTTAAAAAGAGAACGAGAACTGGTCACCAAAAGACGTTCTACTTCCACTGTACGAAAATATTTTGGATTCCATGGAGACGATATTGAGCAAAAGCAAATGATTTGTCAGCACTATTTTGTGTTATTTTTTGGCAGAACTCGCTGTAATACCACCAATTTCTTTGACAGTCTCTATTGGTAGATAATGTTATATTTTGCTGTATTTAATTTCGGGTAAATTTCAACTCCTTTTTTGCTTGAAAAATATCAATATTAATCGCAAAACTTTCTAATATCACAATGAATGCTGAGACTTAAAACATCCACATTAGTCTGTAGCCGACTTTACTCGTTGATGAACCGAACCCTTCGGATTGGATATTGGATATGAGCTTAATTCTCCAGAATTCTCTTCTCTTCTTAGAGACTCCTGTGAGTTCCTGTGAGAATGGCCCCATGTTTGCGTGCTTGGGGCAGACTAAGGGTGGCGGTAACCAACCTTGAGCGGTTGAGATTGCATACCACGTGGCCGGGTGGGTTGCTGCGCTAGAGTATGTATGCTTGCCAGTTTTTCTCCTGAGGACGGCCAAGTCTTACCATCAACGGGCCTGTTCAGACCTTTCTGGCATTCTGCTCGGGTGTGGAGCTTTTTCCCTGCATTAACCCTTCCTGGTTATCCAGGAAGTTTTGCGTAATCCTTGTCCGGCTTGGTTAGACCTGGAGCTGCTTGCGGCCTCCTGACCCTCGTCTGTTTCCATGGTGTTTTGGCTGGCCTGCTTTTGACAGCTTGTCAAAAATCTGCCACCGCCTGCCTATGCATGGATATGTTCATCTGAGATGTGTGTGTGGGTCTACCAAGGTCTTGGAAACAAAGCTGCCCTTGTGTGCCAGGGAGTAACGGCCACCCTGGAACGTCAGTGAGACGCTCCAAGCAGAAGTAAAAAATGCAGCCTTGGGCGAAGTGCCTTTAGTCGTTTTAACAGCAAAGTTCTGGAACCTGGTCCCTGTTTACAAGATCCTGGGCTGTCTGGACTGGGAACATTTGTAGCTCCTGGCAGTTTTAATGTGTCGCTTTCACATTGCACAACAGGAACTGGGATCTTTATGCTAAATAAGCAGGGGAGACACAAAAAGCTCGTAGGTTAAACTTCACACGCAATTTGCAAATAAACTACACCACCACACCAAAACAATGGAGGATGAACAAGTGTTTCGTTATTGGGGCCATCAGTCACACTCAAAACAGGACACAGTGTTTAATTTATGTTTTATTTATATGACCTGTGACATGTTTATAATTCTTATTAAATCTGCTTAGCAGATCAATCTTTCCACAGAATAAAAAACAAAGTATAATTATCCCACTAATTAGACAAAGGTATATTGGTTATTGATCAAATTTCCTAATGCAGAAATATGGAGACGCAAGCAAAAAATGCATTAATTGATGCATTAAATGTAATACTGTAGGTATGAAATTGAATCCATCTGCTCAGTTCTTGCTCCGGTACTTCTGTCTCTTTTCCCTACACTTCCGTGTGACTTCCAAGATAGCGGCAGTGCTTGTGGTCAACCAGTCAGCAAGTTTATCACTGTAAATGCCTCCCAAGTACTATTTGAAGAGAAAGTTCCCAGTCTGGAGTAGGTACTTTGAAAGGGTTCCGGAACTGCCTCCGAGGAATTACAATCGGGCCGCGTTCCTGCGATGTAAACACCACGAGTACCTGGTTGTGGAAAAAGGTTCTGGTTCCTGAAAAAAGTGCTAGTGGTGAGAAAACACCTTTTGTTGACCTACCCTGCAGGAATGAAAGCCCCCCTGCACACGCAAATCGTTTGACAGTGGCATTCTGCTTCTGTAATAAGCCATGTGATGCCCCCCCCCCCCACCCCCCAGGTTGGTAGATGACAGATGTGTGGTGCAGCCTGAAGCTGGAGACCTAACCAACCCCCCCAAGAAGTTCAGAGGTGAGTGAGTCAGGGTGTTCTTTCAGTGTCTGTGAGTCTCGGCACCGAGCTAAAGTTTTCAGGACTCTTCAGTTATAATTTGCATTTGTAAGTAGTCTGTGATGCCAGTGAAGCTTGCTGATGAGTATTAAAAATGAACAACATGCACTGTGAATAACCTGTAAATTAGTACTTCTCATTCATTTCTTAAATCTCCTTAGTTGTTGCATGTAGCCTGTTTAAAATTCCACTTATAGGGTTACAATACACTGGGCAACTTTTTGAGCAAAATTGCTGGGCGTTGTGTTAATCCCCTACCCATAAGCAATGGACGCCTCACGTCAACTGATCCTGGTTCCTTGACGTCTCCGTGTCACACGACCTCCCAAGGCTGCACTCTCCTCTGCCTCTTGGTTAGCTGACTGTACCTGCATTGCGTGGCAGGGCAGGGGTTTATTTAACAGGCAAGATCCCTTCGCCTGCTGTAGCTTGACGGTCTGAGATTTCCCAGGCTGCTCCTGTTGTTACCTCAGCTGCAGCCGGTTTCTGCAGGAATCACAGGTTCAAATGAGTTTACCAGTCATCTTTCGTAATGAAAAAACTTTGCTGCTTGTTTTTTTCTGTTGTGCTTCTCTTTCTTATGAAAGGGGCCCCATAGTGCTTTTCCGGTTTTCTTTCCTTTATACAGCTTTATGTGCATAAAAATTCTGCAAAGTCTTAAGGCCTAAGGTACACACTGAAGGGAGTATCCCTCACCACAAAACCCACTCTTCTGTAATCTGCCTGAAACGCTTTGTTGGAATTTCAGCCCAAACTTCCGTGACATGGTGAGGTCACCTCATGACACAATCCTTATTGGTCACCTACCTTCAAGGATCTGTCAGCAGACTTCAAGACAGAGGTGGAACATGTAGGGCAATCTGACCAGTCAGAGAACACTGGGCTCATTGGGGGTGGGGCTTAAAGCTCTAATAGAGCACTTCAGACAGCTATAGACAGAGTGACTGTAAATGTACAGTATGAGAAATTATGTGGTGGAACATTGAAGTATGCAAATCTAGTCTAGACCCTGAAAATACAATTATGAACACTGCAAATGAGCATAATAGGTCCCTTTAATAAAATCAGAGATGAGTTTGAATAGTGAATGTTATGCAGAATATCAGTTTGACTTGCGCGTGACATGTGTACCATAAAAATCACCTCCCCTCCCTCTTTCTCTCCAAGACTGCCTGTTTAAGGTCTGTCCCATGAGCAGATACTCTGCACAGAAGCAGTTCTGGAAAGCCAAGCAGGGGAAGCAGGGCAACAACACAGAGGTGGACTTGCTGAAGAAGTTACAGGTATGTGATTGGGACCCGGAGGTTTACGGTCACGCTGCTGAGCCTGCAAAACCTTTGTCTGAGCCTCAGAAATACAGCGCTAATCAGAATGCATCAGCATGCTAATACAATACAAACGGATCATTTATAGTGCAACTTAAATTGGAACTTGTTTGATTAACTGACAGACTTCAGAGAGTGGAATAGGTTTTGTATGAATTAATCTTATTGTAGCATTTTATCAAAGCTTCAGTAGCTCAAGGTATGATAAATCCACAGAAGCAGGATGCTAATCCTGACTGCCTTTGCTGGATTTGGTGGACAGTGTTGCTTTAGCTCTCTGATCGCTCGCCGCAGTCCGTTTCTCCATTCTGCCTCAGAGGTCTTGCCTTGTGTCCTTAACAATAAAGTTAGAATTAACAGGTCTGACATTTTTCTTCAATAAACTCTTGAGTTCTAGTGCAGATTGTCCTTTGAACTTTGAGAAAATGCCTTGTGTGGAAGGGAATTCTCATGAGGCAGATAAAAATGAAAAAATGAAAATAATTTAAAAAGTCGGCGTCACCCATTCTGTAATGACCATGAAAAATGTATTATAAGCACTCAGGTATTTAAGGATTGTGTTTGTCAGAGAGATTAGAGTAAAGTTATATGTTATATGTTTGCTGCCAGACTTGCTCTCGCCTACATGTGTGTCTGTGTGTCATGGAGAGCAAGATATGGTGGGCAAAAAGACAAGTTCCTCACACAGATCAATTATTATTGTTGTTGATAATAATAATCTGACATCACTTTTTACAAATTGTGTCTAAATAATTAGTAGTTTGGTCTGTGTATTTAACACACAAATATAAGAATTTCAAATCACTCATAACTGAAGTCTTCTAAGATTTTTGTCCGATTGCAAATGAAATGTTTTTGTATAATTTGTGCTGGTGAATGACTTTTACACATGTGAACTTTATACTCGTAGCTGTACAGGTTTTTCAAATCCCAGTCTTTGGTCTGGGGGCTGGGCATTATAGCATGTCATGGAATACAGAAGCTGCAGGAGGTCCACCCTGGCTGGGGGGGGGGGATCTGGGTGTGCTTATTGTCTGCTCTCATGCTTCTTAGCTCCCTTGGCTCGGAGACGTCCTGGTAGGCCTGTTGGGCGACTTTCTGATCCAAAATCTCCTGTTTCCAGCACGCGGCCGAGCTGGAACAGAAACAGAATGAATCGGAGAACAAGAAGCTGCTCGGGGAGGTGGTGAAGTACAACAACATCATCCAGGTGCACCAGGGCTCACTGCTCGGCTCTCTGCACTTCTGTCCTGCACCCACCCTTTCTCTGTAACCTCTGCATGATGTTACATTGGAGAACAAGCTGTTAGCTGGCTCTGTTTAACATGCAATATAACTGCAGTTTAACATTCCTGCAGCTATGGGACGTTTTTGCCTCCTTATCCTAAATGCACTAATTGATAACCTTTGCATAGAGGAGTGGATTTTTACCCAGCAGGGGTGATTCTGGGATTTAGATTTTAAATTGTGGGACATAAGATGGGCCGTAATTCATGCAGAGGGGCAACCTACTCATTAGCTAATGATGTGTTTTGAAAAATTGAGTGATAGGTCAGGTGGTACTCTAGCGGCCAATCGGCTTTCAGCTGCCCCCCGTGGCCCCACCCTTATGGATACCCCCACCCAGGCGGGCGACAGTGCCTGTTGAGTAGGTGTGTTGGGTGTTTTGATAAATAGACTTAGTCCAGAGTACAGAAGAGTACAGAATACTCTTCTGTACTCTTACAGCAGGACAGTAGTTCAGTCAGTCCCATTACTGGCATTCAGGTATCCAGTTTAAAAGGTCATTTTAAAAGCACATAGTACTAATACCTCTATGGACCTAAATGTGGCCTCATGGGAAGCAGGGGTGAATCAGCATGTGCATATGACTCTGTCAGCTTAACCTTAAGCCATATCTTTACTGTATGCTCTACTTCAGTGCTGCTTGAGGAAGAGACTTAAATGTGTTATCCGGGGAAACTTAAGAATCAATGAGCCTGACATTGAATAAATGGGCGGTGGCATTTAAACTTAAACCCGACATCCATCCTCTTAGGTTCATACTTCCAGCAGTAGGATCCTACTTCATACGATTCAGAGTACTTACCTGCTTTATGATAGGTGGCTGCCTTCACAGAAGAACATTTTGTCCGAGTGACTGTAATGATAATCGGAGATGCGTCTGTCGTTTTCATAAGAGATCAAGGCTTATACGCTGAAATCTAGGACCTGTTCCTGATAGTAAAATGGTGCAACCTTTTTAAAGCACAGCTTGAACCCCATCCTTAATGTCTGGCTTAGCTTTCCTTGTTATTGCGTCTAAAACCACTTTAGTTTACACCCACAGACACTCCATGTTTTTGCTCACTGGTAGCTTCGAGGGAGCAAAAACGTGGACCGACTATGGGTCCCAGATGACTGGATTGGGAATCACTGGTTTACACAGTTTTCCTGGCATGGGTATTTGCTTTAGATGTTCTGGGTATACCATTTTATGTGCAAATGTCACCACAATGTGATAAAATCCTGTTATTTTGATTTTGGTCTCCACAAGGGGAAATTGATTTTTATAAAAATGTGTGACTGCAATCAAAAAAGTAAAAATGCCAAAAGACTTGTATTTTGTTTGGTTACTTATGGTTAAGGTTAGGGCCGGGTAGGGGTTAGGCTTGTCATTGGTGGGATTGGGGGTTTTTCTCGTACAAATGGCCCCCACAAAGAAATTAATACAATTGTGTGTGTGTGATGATTTCACTGTTCATTGTTTTCTCCAGCCTTGACTTTTATAGATTCTGGATATTCAGTAAAGCTTGTCTCCCCCCCTTCTCCTTGTGTGTGTGTCTGTCTGTGTGTGTGTGTCTGTGTGTGTCTGTACTCTTCTTCTGGTCAGCTGCTGCACATCAAGAGCAACAAGTACCTGACAGTGAACAAGCGGCTGCCAGCGCTGCTGGAGAAGAACGCCATGCGCGTTTCCCTGGACATCGCGGGCAACGAGGGCTCCTGGTTCTACATCCAGCCCTTCTGGAAGCTCCGCAGCGAGGGGGACAACGTAGGTCCTGGGTGGACGGCCTCTGCCCTCTAACACCTGCTTTTCTGTGTTGCTTTTTTCACATCCCGGTTACGTTACATTATATTTCTATAGCATTTTGTTTTTCGAAAAAGCATCGCTAACGCTAAGGCTACATTCCTTGCTTTGGCAAACGCGCCATTCATTTGAATGAATTAATTCAGCTAAAAAAACACACTGGAGGTTTTTCTGACCAGCGATGAGTTAAGGGGGGGGGGGCACAACAGAGCCAAGGTGTGTGTACCCTGTGTGATTCCTGGGGGTTAAATGCATCAGAGAAGGGAACAGGGTGCCATTTCCTTAATTGGAAAGTTAAGCTTTGAAAGGCCAACGTCTCCAGGCAGGTGAGATTCGGGGAGGGAGGACCTGCGGGGCCTGTAGCTGCCTGATCAGGACAAAGGTTTTAAAAAAAGGTGTTTTACAGGTTACTTAAACTTTACAGGTTACTTAAACTTCAAAACATACCTGGCATGCTTTATTTACTAAATTAATTATGCCCCCCTAGTCATTAGGCAAGAGGAGATGCTTCAGTGTTCAGGTTCTCCGTCAACCTGTTTACTGTCGACTAAAGGGCATAATTTTATGAGATAAAGGAAACCCATGGAAGCAAGCATGCTTAAAAATAATAAAAATAATTGTTTGATTGTTTGCTCTCTTTTAACACTCTATATATTTTTGATGGATAGTCTGCTTTGGTCTATATTAGAAACGGTTGTCTACGTTCACACCAGTGGTGGTTGTATTTATTAAAGATGAACTGGCTCGTCGGCTGTTTCTCGGAGGTGTGATTTTGGCCGAGAATCTCTGCCGTCCTTCCAGCTGACTGTCTGTGTCATGCTGTCTGTTTTAACAGGTGGGGGCTGGCTGTGTGCTTTTTCTAAGGCCAGCCCTGGTAAACAGATCGCTATCACTGCACCCCTATGCTAGATTTAGATTTATGGCATTCTTGTGTGCCAATCAGAACGTCTTAAACCAGCACAAGTTGGAACGTTCTTATTCCTGTTATCACATTAAGGTTTGAACAAATATTTGTCATCCAGGGTTAATGGAAAGGCAGAGATCTTATCCTTGCATTTCTCTATAGAAAGTAGCTAATATGCTAGCAGAGAATCCCTCTGATTCTGCAAACCATCCTCATGACTGTTTACCAGCTGCCTCTAGTCCTCTGAAGGTCTCACCCACCTTTTTAGTTCCAGTGCCCTTGTACATTTATTTTTTGTTTAAATGCAGATCTGCATCTACAGAGGCTACAAAGCTAACGTTGACTTGTTTTTGCGGTTCATTAACGTGACTGGTGTCTCCTCCCCCTCGCCCCCCCCCCCCTTCTAGCCTGAAGCACCTGATGGGGAAAGGTATTCCACCCAGTCATATGGCATGTGGCGTGAATGGCCGCCTCTACCAGCATGCTCTCATTGGTTGCTCTGGTTTTATCATTTCACGCAAACTGTAAGGCAGATACCCCACAGCCATTTTCTGCACTGGTGCCGACTTTGTGTTTTAACTCCCACTATTAAGTTGGGGCAGCATGTGGCTCTATAGGTTAGGACTCTGTGCCTTGGATCTGAGGGTCATTGGTTCAAAACCCATGGTCAGCAAAGTGATTTCATTGGCTTTCATTGGGCCCTTAACCCAAACCGTTCCAGGAACCAGCGGACCCTCCTTTCTCAATTGTCACTTTGGATAAAAGTGTCCACTAAATTAATCACTAATTAATGAATTAATTCCCAGGATCATTCAGATCAATATCATAGTCACATTTTACTATAAGGGGATAGCACAGCGCTTGTTAGCTGAAGCATTCTTGTCTGAAGAGATAAATCAAGCAAATATGTTGTTAAAGGACGTGTTTTTTTCCGATCAGACATGCATGCTCACTGACACATGCTCCTGGAATGTGCTTAGCTTCAACCTGTTCTTCCAGAAGGTTCCTGCTCGGGGTTTCCGTGTATTACTTCCGCGACTTTCCCAGGACGCAAAGCTGGAAAATGTAGGCGAAGCTGAATAACGGAATAACCCAGAGCTGGACGCCCTTGTTTCAGTGGATTTATTATAAAGAGAGTTTAGAATAAAAGTATCTAATCTATCCCGTCATTGTTGTACTGTGACCGCAGACGTGTCACGAATGACGAGGTTGCCGGAATCGTCTTTCTGGATGTTAGACGGAGCCAGTTTCTTATCTGATAATCATCGCTTCCTGGTTTGTGCTCCATGATCGAATATACAAGCATGAATGCACAGTGCACTGTTACCTAAGCCACAAAAAAAACATAATTCTGAGATCGCCCAGCATTCCTTCATGCTGTGAGCCCTCGTGTGTGTCTCCGCCTGTCTGGGTGGCAGCTGCCGCGGGTGTGTGCGTCTGCGGTGAGCTACGCAGCCGAGTTTCAAGGTTCAAGGTTAGTTTGTCATCAGCAGCTTCGTACATGAACGAAGAGTGATGAAACAACGTTTCTCCATGGCCCCGGTGCAACATATAGTAACGTACAGTACACTTAACATTACAGTAACAGGGCGTGCAAGGTGCAAACAGGCAGTAAATAAATAGTGCAGAGATGTAAACTTCGTATGATTTGTGCAGTTGCACAAGGCAGCTGGCAGGATTCACCCCAGCATAAGACACTACAAAGTGCAGTAACTGAATCAAAAAACAAAACAATACAATACAATACAAACAATAATAGACAGGACGATAAATAGACAGCACACAATTCCAATTTGTAACAATGGAGGGACGTGAACCAAAATGGCTAGTATTGCACATGATTATTATATTGCACAGGTCAGTTGTAGCACTAAATTCACAGTGACGGAAAGTTGAAATATATAGTTGTTAAATTAACATGCTGAAATGGATGCATAATGCGGCAGTCACAGTGGACAGTGTGTAATCACCTCTGCGTTCAGCCTCACCTGCTTGTCTTCGGAGAATCTTACCTCCTGTGGTCCTGATCTCCCTGTTCTTGTCTGACTTTTCACTCTTGCGTCTCACTGGTTTGCCAGTGGGCAATGATACTGGTTTGCAGTGTCCTTTACTAGCATACCAGTGTGTCCCTTACTGGTTTGTTCCCATATCCTACCCCCTCCGCCCCCGCTGTGTCCCACACCCCTGACCGATTCTCGTGGGCCTGCAGGTGGTGGTGGGAGATAAGGTGGTGCTGATGCCCATGAATGCGGGACAGCCCCTCCACGCCAGCAACATCGAGCTGCTTGACAACGCCGGCTGTAAGGAGGTGCCCCCCCCCCCCCCCCACACACACACACACTCGTGCTGTAACACCCCCCCACACACAGCCATGGATCTGAGCCCTTCCTCCTCCTCTCCTCGTAAACGGCAGGTCAATGCTGTGAACTGCAACACCAGCTGGAAGATCACTCTCTTCATGAAGTTCAGCGACTACAGGGAGGACATCTTAAAGGGAGTAAGTCCAGATACTAGGACTTCCACCATTTCTTCTGGAAAATATGCAGTTTTTTCCGTCTTGGTTGATGACTCATGGAGTAAGTAGCTTTTCACAGTGTTTGGTAGTCTTTGGTAGTCTTTGGTAGTCTTTGGTACTCTGAATCTGCAGACCATGTTTCCTGGCAAGCATGTATCCAGGTAGTAAAACTACGGGATTGAACCCCCCCTCGAAGATTGACAGACTTCCCTCAGCATTCATTTCTGTCTACAGGCCTATCTCCTGGTGTTAAGTACCAGGAACCCAGTAAATTCAGTGGTTAATGCAGAAAACACCCTTTGTACATTTTGGCTACGTGTTTTTGGGTGTATTTTTTATTTTTTATCATGCCATCTACAGTTCTTGACCTGTAGTCGTATATAAGGCCGCTGACCCCCCTCCCGCGTTCCTCGATTCAGGGCGACGTGGTGCGGCTCTTCCACGCCGAGCAGGAGAAGTTCCTGACGTGCGACGACTACAAGAAGCAGCAGCATGTGTTCCTGAGGACCACGCTCCGCCAGTCTGCCACCTCTGCCACCAGCTCCAAGGCACTCTGGGAAGTGGAGGTGAGTATGGAGCCTCACCGTCTGTATCTGGATGCTTCCTCTCCATAAGCACCTTGTCATAGCCGTAACAAAATGCCCAGAAAGTTCAAGGTAGATACATATACTGATTAATCCATCCATTTCCCAATAGCTGCTTACCAGTGATTCAGTCCGTTCCAATTTACTTTTATATAGCGCCTTTCACAACAGTTGCCCCAAGGTGCTTGACAAGTATGAGGCAATCCATTATTGTATCATTTATACGGAATGTGCATGAAACAGGAAAAAAGGGAAGATGGGAAAAAAAGACAAAGGACGAGGGATGAGAGGATACATTGTATTTAACAGAGGTGGGTAGTTCAGGTCCAGAAAGTTAATATCCGGACCAGTATTTTATTTCAACCAACCAGTTGAGTACTCTGTGTCTGTGATTCTTTATGCTCAGCT